TAGGTTTGTTATTTGTCATGCGTTTATTGTCAATATTTGATCACTACGCCAAGATTTCCACTTACAGTCGATATTATTGTCCAAAGACTTGATGTTAATGTTGTGTTAGGTATCTTGTGAAGGGATTAACCATTATTTGAATTTTAGGATTATTATTATGACTCATTGTTAAATATTAACAATTACAGATATGAGCATTATTGTATATTTAACTTCTTTTTCTTATCAGCTACTATTGGTACAATTTCTGCTATTCTCAACAATATTCCTATTCTTAATGGTTCCACCTTCAAAGATTGGAAAGAAAATATAGTTGCATATTTAGGCAGCATGGATCTGGACCTTGCATTTAGGATGAAACAACCCTCTCCTCCTTCACCTGAGAGTTCTCTTAATGATAGGAGTCTCTTTGAGAAGTGGGATTGTTCAAACCGCTTAAGTCTATTGATCATAAAGCGCGGTCTTCCTAATGCATTTAGGGGTGCGTTATTCAAAGGAATAACAAATGCCAAAGATTTCCTAGCTGAAATAGAAAAATATTTTGCTAAAAACTATAAGGTTGAAATGAGCATGCTTTTGCAAAGCCTAATTTCAATGAAGTATAAGGGCCAAGGGGARCACATTATGGACATGTCTCATCTTGGGTCAGAACTAAAGGCACTTAAGGTAGAGCTATCTGATGGGTCGCTCGTGCACTTAGTTTGGCAAGCATCACCAAAGACAAAGAAAATAAAATTCTACAACTTCTAAAGGTCCAGTTCTCAACTTTTGTGGACATATAAAGAAGATTTGTACCAAGTTTCATGCCTAGAGTGTAAAGAAAATGTACACCTCTTATTTGGTCTGTTCTTCAGGACATCCAACTTCAGTACCTTGAAACACGTCATGGTGAGATTTTGGTGCAATTACTCACATAAGTGTTTCCCTGCAGGATTGCCTAAGTTACCGAAAGCCAATTTATGCTAAAACACACATCTTTGTTGGTGGTGGCAAGTCGGTAACAATAGAGGCCATGGGCATTTCTTGCTGTTCTTAAGTACCTATTTTATTTGAATTTTAAAGACACCTTTTGTTGTACTATCTGTAACCAAACTTTTGTTTGTGTTTTCTATGTTCATAAATATTGTTATTAAATATTTTGGTAACAGTTTTTTTGTTTAGTCTTTGAATTCAAATATTGTTGGCATGGTTTTCTTGATGCTTTTGCAACTAGAATAGACCAAAATAAAGTGTTTAGCAACCTCTAATGGGTATAAGTTTTTATGATCCCACACTTAAGGAATTTTCGGATGTTGAGTTTGGGGGGAGAAATAAGGGTAAAAACGTTGTCCTTTGTAAGGAGGAATTAGTTTCTATTCCTATTGTTGCTTTTTGCAGTGTGCAAGTTTCTATATTTGTCACTGAAGATTAAACATATCAGGATTTTAAACTAGACAATGTTGAACAATTCCTACTACCGATGAGGTAGTTGGTCCTCATGAGCAAACTCAACAACCTCCAGAATTAATGTCCTTTGAGATGGTCCACTATATAAAGATCAGAAATATCTATTTTTGATAATTTCATTACCTTTCTTAAGGAACAATGAGAATCATATATGATACTATATAAATGTCATCAAGTTATTATCTGGTTAGGTCTTGAGATAAAAATTGTTGATAATTGTGCGTATCACAAGTTCAGTGGGAGTAAGCATAAAGGATATTAAAGTAATTTTTTGACGTCCTTGTCACTAAGAAAACAAACTTAATCTTAGTTAATGCCCAAAACAATCTAGAAGTTGAGAAAATGGAAAAAGGTTCCTTGTTCACCTGCAAGGAAACTAATGTAAGCTTAAGTATGTGTACATGTGTGGTATTGTGTACATTGTTGGGATGTTATACTTAAGTAACCCTGATATGGATATTTTTGGTAAGCAGCCAAATGGGGTATTGTAAAGAACAAAAATTATATGCTCACATATAAGAGATCAGATCAATTTGAGATCATTTGGTATTCCGGCTCTTATTTGATGGATGCAAAATTGTGGTAGATCCACCTTAAGATATATTAAATGGTATCTAATCCCATGGAATCTAGCTACAAGTTTTTTGTCACATGGCTGCAAATTGTAGAGGGTGTTGAAAGACCACTTGAATTTACTGTGACACGGTAAATAAGCTATATTCGATTAACATTAGAAATTCATAAATTTCTAATTGTGAAAGAAAGAGTGCATAGTATACACAAATCTATAGAGTATATTGGGACACGCTCCATAAAAGCAGATCTGCTTGTAAAAGCATTACCACCCCTAGGTCTTTCATCTTTCGTGAGCATATGACTTATATGAGTGTTACTGGAAATGAGAAAATTATGTTTCAGTGGGAGTTTGTATTGCTCTAGGATTTATTTTGGACATATTTATTATGTGTTTTGGATTCTGATCAGAAATATGAAAATTAAGTTCATTATACTTTGTCCAATTAGGTTAAAGATTTTGGTCTCACTAAAGTAAGGAAGGACTAGTTGGAAATAGGCATGTATAGATCACATTTCATGTAATTTTCATATTGTACATCCATGGTTTGATCTGTGTCATTTAGTTATATTGGTATTTGTGACCAATGATGGGTTTAGTTGCATTTCATTGCAACGAAAACCTCTTTGATCCTTACTAATGTAACTAATGGACAAAATTGTTTAAGTTTACTCCTTTTTACGATAGCAATTTTGGAGCGCATAAAGTCAAACACATTTGTTAGGTTACATATGTGGCCCACTGGGAGATTGTTGGAATTTTCAATAGCATAGGACCACACATGTATTAATTTAATGTGTTTTTGCTATTTAATTAGATCGAGATAAGTGATCTAATTATGTGTAAGTTTTGGTTTAACAGAGTAATTATAAAATGACTATGGACAAAATGTATTGATACCATGAAATAATTTCCAATTTGATGAGGGGTCAAATTACAAATATGAAAACGTTGTGACCAGTGGTTTTTGGTTGATTACATAGGGGTTATGGTCCCCAAGTTAGATCTTCTTCACGTCAGTTTTCTCTTATCCCTTCATAGAGAATCTTCTCCYTGTTCTACTAATATACAAAGTAAAACCAGAGGAAAACGTGATTCATCTAGACTTGGAAGATCAAACCTGTCAATCCGCATTCAATTATGGATCAAGGTACGCTTCCGCTTCTTAAATGTTAATTCTCTTGAATTGAAATGGGAAATCGATCCATGGCTTTTAAGTTTTGGATTTCTTTTTTTCCAACATAAGAACCTCCAAGTCAATAATTATCTATCTTGACATATTCAATGATATAACTTTCTTGTTGGATATACGTGTTAAAAAAATGTGTCTTTATCAACTTTATGCAATTTTCTTAAATTCATCCATCATATCTCTTGTCCTCTCTCTAGCTTTTCCAACGTCCCACACGAAGAAAATTAATGAATTAGGCCGCTAGATGAACACGAACAGTAGACAGTGAAAGAGCTGCCCAAGAAAATTCATACAATGAGGCGAACATAAATTAATTAATACCCTGTAAATATTATCATTTATGTCTCATTCAACGCTGCTAAATCCAAGTTGTTCCCTTCAATTTAATTCATGACTCTTCACTTTGTCTGCATATACTTTCTTATTTCCACAATAGTATAGAGACAGCATGCTTTTATATTTCCACAATAATATGATATATTATCAAATATATTTTTATATATTCGTAATTTTTCCCTATTGGAACTTAAAAAAAAATCACCTTTTATAATAATTAAGTTGCTTACTTGCCACACACAATGTTTTGTCCATAAGGTCCCCACTCCTACACTACAAAATTTTTGGGTTCTTTTTCCAAGATTCGAAAAAAGTTGCTCTCAACGAAAGAAAATGTGACCCAATGTTGTATTGGGGTTTGGAGACTTGTAAACAAAGAACCGCAACTAGTAATATTCAAACTATTTTCTATATATATATTAGAGATAATTATTTTTTAAAAAATATTACCTACAATAGAAATGTATAAGAAACAAAAATTAAAGATACAGAAGTCCGAATTATTTACTTTAACGAAATACAAAGGAAAAAAAGAGAGGTTTTAAACAAAATTAAAATTTATATAAAAATAGTTTTTAATGAGTTTTGTCAATTATTTAGACTTTAAAAAATTAAATTAAAATTTATATAAAATAAGAGTAATCG